TTTTATGAGCGTCTAAACGACGCTCTTATCAGTCGCCTTTAACGTTTGAGACGTTAAACCTGTCTAGTATAAAAACGTGACGCCCTTAACTGCCTGCCATGTTATCAGTTAGTAGATTTGTTCGAATATTGGTGCGCTAAAAGTTGCTTGTTTTCAGTGTCCTTCGAGTATAGAGCCCAGTCTTCTTTTTTTATAAGAAGATATATTTTTTGTCAGGCCGTGTACTTAAATGCGTCTCATTTTTATACGAGACGCCTTTAACGTCTTAGACGTTAAAGGTGTTTAGCCAACTTAAACGTCTCTAGCATAAAAACGGCCAATTTGTCATAAGTCATCTAGAAGTCCATTATGAAAGTCACGTTGCCCTCAAAAATCCCTCGAACACGGAAGCTCACCACGGCTGGTCTTCAGATGTCAATGCTTGCTGAATCATCGTCGAAAGAGAAAGGAGGACATTCTAAACTCATCGACAAACTAGAGAATTTTCATTATTTTTGTGTTTGTGAACGAGTCGCACACCCCTTCGCTCGGTGACGCTATTTCTCACTGTTCAAAGCCTCAATGAACTGTTCCAAACTTTCTTGTATGTGTCTCACATGTTCTGAAAAATAAGTAAAAAAAAACCACTCGCCTTAAATAAAGAAATACCCGTTGGGCAAAGGTTTGTAGCCTAAATGTTAAATATATGATATTAGGTCTTCTAATACAGAGAATACATCAAACCACAAGTTTTCCTCCAGGTGGTGAATTTTTCATGAATCATTTCCCGCCAATTTCAAACCTGGCTGACCAAAGTGTACCTTGTAATGGGTTACTTTATTAAGGACACGTGTCAGGCAACTAATGTTCAGAAATATGATTTCCTGTTTTCATCCTCTCAAATTCGGATTCTTTCTGATTTCCACATATAAAAATACTCTTTAATCACTCGGAGAGCGGTATGGATTTAAGTATACTGCAATTAAAGTACTTTTGACACAATATTCAAGGACCGCGGAGACCATTTTAAAGTTAAAAAATCTGGCCAATACAAACAAACGTAAAGGTCAGTGTTTCGCCATTTATCTTGCATTTGCGTGCCAATCTGGAGCCCCAGAAAATAAATCCCAGCAATAAAAGTGGTAGGATTATAACCCTACCAACCCCTCCCTCTCCGCGGTCCCTGACATTTTCAGGCTAAGCGCATGTTTACTAAGTAATAATAGTATTAAAACTTTGGCGACTTTTTGTAAAATTTTGTTGGTTTAGCAAGTTTCAGCCATCAAAACGCCAGCAGCCACACGTACGACGTAATCGGCACGTGACTACTTGGACTTCTCCGCCTCGTAAAAATGGGGTAAGAAACGGAAAACCAAGAAAAAGACAGAAAATATCAGTCTAAAAATTGAAAAAGCTACGGCATATGTCAAACTGCAACCACAAGTCGAACTTCACTGGGGAAAAGAATTTAAACACCGTCTGGTCCATGCACAAGTTCAATATTATCCGATCATTAACGGCTTGAAATTAATTATATTGAGTTAATATGTCTGCAAAGAATACAAAAGTTTAGAAAACGACAAATGTGGCGCTTCATTGCGTCTGGTCGTAAACGCGAAGATTTTTGTAATTAATTTTTCTCTGTTTTGGTGTTAATTGCTTTACACTTCGGGATTGAATGAAATATCGATCTGTTCTGCATTCATTCATCGTCAACGAATATAATTTACTATTTACTAAATGGCGTCATACACGATGTTGGGAAAATTTAATTTTCTACATTTTGTAAAGTCAATCGTAACCAAACAAAGAAATGAAGCCACGCAACATGAGACCGTGCAAATGTACAAATCGCACAATAAAATTGTGGAGGCTACCAAAATAAAATAAAGTTTTACGGAACACGATTTCTTCAGTCTTATACAGCCTGTTAAAGTAGATTGAGGTTTACACTAGATTAGGTACAACATAAAATAATGTTCGATAGGTCACGCCACGGGACATCAGTTAACTTACTTAATTCTTCGGCAAGGTCAACTTGTCTTCCGCGGATAAGCCTCTCTTTGGCTGTTTGGTCGTAACTAATCTCATCTAGAACTTGTTTTACTTCTTTTTCTAGTCGGCGAGCTACGACAAGTTAAAGACATGTTAAGTGAAGATAACAAATCCAGTCATTTGTTACAGAACGTACAGTAGTTAACTGAAAGATGTAAACGAAAACAGATGCCATTTACGGGGACTCGTTGGGGAACACATGAAGAGTCTTCATTTGCCAGCCGCAGTCGAAATATTTCCCTCCTCACGAAGCGTGGCCTTCCAGGGACAGGCAAAACTTGTTGTTTCGGCTAAACTTGTTATTTCGACTTAATTGTCTTTCTTTGCTTTCATCTCAGAGGCTTTCCCCCCTCCCTTTCAGTACTTTCAAAATGTGGTGTCGGTTATGCACTGTGTGACTCATGCTCCTAACAAGCCTGGAAAGAGTCACGCCAGAGAGTCACGCAAACTCTCAAGAAGTCACTCTATTTCCAAACCTATAAAGCTCCACGGCTGGATTTTATTCCATTTCTAAGCCTAAACTTTACTTCTTTTGGAGCGTTCTCAGGTGCGCGATGAAATGACTCGAGTGTGGATCATGAAAATGGCTTTACCTTCATGATTCATGACTTGTTGTCTGATGGCGTTACTCGTTGTCTGCAACATCTTCTGAATTCGCCAGAAGAGAACTACGTCATTACAACCCAGCTGAAAAGAAATGAAAAACGGGCCTTTTCCAGTGTTTCACATGGTAATAAAGAACACCCCCCTCCCCCACACACGAATGACATATTAGTCATAACAAGTCTACATTGTAATACAAAGTTTGTAATACAATGTTAATAACTTCGGAACAAAGTTTTTGTCCGCCTGATACTCGAACGTTTAGTGGATTCCTTCTTAATATCATTTACTCTTTGGATTCACTTTATTCATTACTCGACGACCGCAACGGGGAAGAAAACCGGGTACGAAATATCACTTGGATCAAAACAGCGGGCACCTGTTACCTCGTTTTTGACCAGATCTCTTCTATAAAAAGCATTTCTGCACTCCTGCACGTTGCCCAAGGATTGCTTCAGAAAATGCTCCCGATACAACTGATTCCAAGTTTCATTTACCTGAATTAAAAAAAAGGTAGACGAAAGATTATTCGCTATTTACAACATCCATATGCTCTATTGAGGAGACACGCAACGAGAATAACAAAACTCATCCACTAGATGTTTCCCCGATGAAACGTTAACTTCTCAGAACTGTCATTAAACACAATGCACGTCAGGCCTTAAAGAGCATTAGTTTTTCAATCTTACGACAAGAAAGGGTCACGTTTTAAACCAAGCTACTAACCAGATCACTGGACACGTCCACGCTGATGGTTTCTAGATTTTTTCTAACAGTCGTTAGCTCATCGTCTGCGAGTATCGGTCCGTGACGCTGTGTACAAAAAAACCCCAAAAACATTGTTAGAAACATCTTTGCAATTTAACGTTGGGTATCAATGCGGAGTGGATCGCCACCCCTTCCCACATCCCCCGCATCACCCCTCCCAACAACTCAATCCAAGACATCCAGAAAATCTGAAATTTCGCAAAACAACGTGGTACAGGACTGTTCAGTAGCTTTTAATTCTAACGGCCAGATACCAGATTTTCTCCCATAGACTTCAATGAAACTAGAAATTCATGAAGGTAGAGAAACGAAACCTGGGGCCCGTTTCTCGAAGGTTCCGAAAAGTTTTCGCACCCGGAAAGTCGTAGCAGAATCTCAAACCCTATTATTAGAGAGCTGTTTTATTCACATATTCTTAATATGAACAGATGTTTCCTTCATACAAGAAGTTCCAGGCGTATACACCTTTCTGTTTTGAGATACAGATTAACTAAAAATGGCTTTGCGGACCCGAAAAGTTTCCGGGACTTTCGAGAAACAGGCCCCTGATCCTGAAACGCAAACTTCTTTATTCTCTTTAACAGAGGTCACCTCACCTCGTTTGCTTGAAGCAATCGCTGAAGTTCGTCTTTGATATAGGACCGACATTGCTTAAGAACAGGAAAACAATGAAGCCGAACATGTTAGGGTCTTGCTAAAAGAGCTAAAAAAATGTTTATGCGGAAACGAATGTTTTCCCGATTATCTGGGATTGACTTACCTGCTCTTTACTTCTGGATCTCCAGTAAAACCACCTTTCCGTCGCCCCGGGTCCAAGTAAATCGTACATTTTCTTGGAGGCTGAAATAGTGAAAAACTCGTGATAAAACATTTTTTCCATGACTGTCGGCAGCACATGAAATAAAGCATTGAACAAATCACAATTCGCAAAAAGAAACTAAGCGCGGGAAAACACGTAACCAGGACCAAGCGCGGGAAGACATGTAACCAGGACAAAGCGCGGCAAAGCAAAGGGAAAGCATACAATCGAAGATTAAGGAAAAGCTTAGCTACTGATTGGTCGAAAAAAGCAAGTTTGCTGTGATTGGTTATATGTTGCACGATCTTTTTTGAGCCAATAACAGAGCTCAGTAATTCAAAAGCAAAGCAAACACCTGACTGTTTCCAACCACTCTTGGTCAGACAATAACGAAGCATGAATTTTCTCTGAATACCTTTGTCTAATTCATCTTGTAAGGTGCTCTCCATAAATTTCACAGCTGAGTCCCACTGCTGTTTTTCGCTCACGGACCAGTCTTCAAGTGCAGTCAGTTGAATTACTCTCTGAGAAGTAGAAAACAGAGCAGTAACATATTACTCTGCCAAAGAGTTTCCAATAGACACCTTTCGGTGTTTCCTTTTCTTATTTCTTGACAAAGCAAAAATCAAGTTAGACTGGGAGTAAAGGCGTGAAAGTTGTCACGTGACGATAACTTGCACGTGCGATTGGCTGAGAAGGTTGGGAAACCAATCTAAAGATGTCAAAATCAATCACCCAAGGCATTTCAGTATGAGTAAAAAAGAAACATGTTCAAGGCTGATTTTGGGTCAAAACATACTTTTTCCTCCCCAAATTCATCAAGTTTAAACAAAGGAAATCATGACCGTGACGGTGTTTGGATATCTGATCTTAATTAGCATAGATTTTTACGATGTTATTTCTCCGTTTTCCCCTTAGTTTTAGTTTCGATTGAGAAGATATCAAACACTCAAGACAGTGTTTGACCACATTTCCAAACACCTCAAAGTTCGTCAAAAATACTCCGCTGCGCGTCGTATTTTCCACTCTCTTCTCGGTGTTTGGAAATGTGGTCAAACACTGTCTTTCGTGTGTGATATATGACTTACCAGGCTGTCAATGGCTTTTGACTGCCAAACGTGACTTCGTTTACACTCGTCAGACAGCTCGGATTTGAGTTCTTCGAACAAATGGCTGTGGCCATCTTTATCGTTCTTCTGTTCCTACACGTAAACAACAATTTCCATCGTCATACAACATTACAGAAGTAAACTTGGCTTATTCTTGGGAACTTTTCAAAAGCAACACTGACTAGTTTCGTTGATGATACGTTTAAGACGGTAGAAAGCCCATCGGTAAGGTGCAGGAAAAGTCAGTAAAACTATACTAATCGTTGAGGTATCCTTAAAACTGAGGATATTTACAGCTCAGTAACATAACAGAAGGATGGCAAATGGGTTTATATAAAGTGATAAATGGATAAGCTAGATTGTACTGAATGCCCGTTGGCTACCGTGAACCACCGAAAATAATCCCGTAAAAGAAAAACAAAGGACTAAAGCAAGAACTTACTTGCATCGCTTTAGAGAATTCCTCAAACAGTGTTTGCCAGCCAACCTGGGTGAAATAATCAAAGTTTCACATTAATCTCGGAGAATGAAAATACGTTAAATTACAATGCCACTACTCGAACCAGGTCACTTGGAAAAGAGTTAACCAATCAGAGGGTTAGGATAGCAATTAGGATAGCAATCTGTCTCGTTTATGTTCTCATGTCAAACAGACCGTCACTTGCCGTCACGAGAAGCTACCAGTCCATTGCCCTTGGTTTTGATTGGTTAGTTTTCTTCTAAGTGGCCCGGTTCGAGTAATCACACTGTAAATTTATATTCAACAAATTAGTCATACCTTGACAGAAATATCAGGTAGAGTTCTTTCCGCCCATTGCTTGAGCTTAATGTCCACAGAAGTGTTAAAATTGCTGGGATTATCTGCCTGAGCAGCAGGAAGATAGATGGCTTCTATGAAGTGCGGGGCTACCGCTGACCACAGGTGTTTAGTAATGATGTCTTCCCACATTTGAGGGGTTATCTCGCTCAGTGTGAGGACTTCATCCAGGATTTCATTACGAGCCTTGTCAAAGAGCTCATTCTGCAAGAGAACACACGGTGAAAAGAAAATTTGGAAAACGTAGAACAAAACTAACAACGCCTTTCAAAAATCTTGCCTAGATTTCTCAAAAAGCAAATGAGAAAGTCGAGTAAATGAGCTATTCCAAGTACGCCTTCCTGGTCCCCTTCCCCCTTCCCCCCCGGNCCCCCCCCCGTCGCCCTCGTCTCTCCGTACTAAGAAGCTTTTGGTCCCGCAAACAATTTCGCTTTCTATAGTATTTAACATGGCAGACAGCATGAACCACGTAAAGTCTGCATTCGAACCCGATGACATCACTATGCCCCTGTACGATTCAGTCTCACCAAACCAGGATTAAATGGAGGGCAACAAAAAAATGAGTTTAACTCATTCTACGTAATAACCTACCCTGTCCAACTCTCTCAGTTTTGGAAAAAAGTTTTTCCATTCCGTTTCCAGATTGAACCGCTTCGCTGAAATAAATTAATAACTGGATCATTACTACTGAATCTTATTGCGCAGGTGACTGACCAATTGAGCGACCCTCACCACCCGTACTTCCTGGATTTTCATTTCTTAAAAACGCTATCTGAAAATCACTCGAATAAAACAGCATTAATTAATTAATTAATTAGTCCCCTTTAAGATCACAACCCTTTGTCGCTCCATACATACTCCCAGTTAAAACTCGGCATATAGATTCTATGATCCATTTTTCCATACCTTTGTAGGAGTCTGCCTGCTGCTCAATCGACTCACGAACCATTTTCCAGAAGCAGTGTGACACAGCGAAACTTAGGTTCTGTGTGGTCATCTGACTGGCTTTGAAAACTCCAGACCTTGGAGGTAAATATTCAAAGAAATCGTCGTAAGTTATAAGACAATTCAGCAGTGGGGACTGTCACTGGTTGATACACAATTTTAATTCTTTGGCGATTTTCTGAAACCTGGAATCTAAATGTACTACATTGTACTTACTTAAAAAGTCTTGAGTTTCTGAAAAATTCTTCCTCGTAGCCACGGATGGTATCAATACCTTCACTGGTATTACCTTATAATGTAAAGGACACAGAGTGCATTAGAGTAAAATATTAGTCATTTGAAAGTAACGTAAAAAAATAATAATCTGATGGAAGAAAGCACGCTTCAGAGAAAAGGAAAATTTCTATTTAACTACATACTCAACTTCAGTTGCACCCTGACCGACAGAACAACAGAGTGAAGAACAATAGCACTAACAGAACCACCTACTTGGAGACTGTTAAAATAAAACTGTCAAGTTGACTTGCCTGTTCCAGTCACCACAGCAAAGTATCCCAAAGCTTTCATCGGGAACAGCTTGCCTTCTAGTATTTGCTTGATCTGAAGGTGAAATACCATGTCATATTTACACACAGTAAAATGATAGAGTGATGTTAAATAAAACTAACTATACAGAGATTTCTCAAGATAAAATGAAGAATTGAAAAGCAATCATACCCGGCTTGGGTTTGCATCATTTTGTTCCGCTAAGTCAACTTTAGTTAGCACAAAAATAGTCCTCTTTCCTGAAAACCAATAAATAGCATAAGTCACAGTGTGATCAGTTCCCAGTTGGCTTTGATAGCTAAGTTGGTAGAGCACCGCACCGGTATCGCAAAGGTCATAGGTTCGAATCCCGTTCAAGCCTGAATTTTTTTTCAGGCTTTAATTTCACAGCAGCTTCTAATTGCTAAAACTTACGGTGTAAAAGTTGAGTATATAACTCCAATGGTCATTGATGTCTTCACATCTTTTTCCACAGTTCAAATACATGATCTTTCGTACATTCACTTACAAACAGTATAACTAATGCAAGAAATGCACAAAATAAGAAACATGTAACACCACTAATCTAGTCCAGGTCTGGTCCTGTTTGCAACACAATGCTACATTCTCTGTGAAAGACAGGAGAGGTGGCTGACGAGGAGAAGTGTTCCTCAGTTCATTTTTGCCTAACTACCTAAGTCCGCTTGTTTGTGCTTGGCACTCAAAATACTAATCAATTCCACAAGATCGCTTGACTATAAAATGTTTTAACACAAGATTCTCTGAGTCAAATTAGTTTTGAGTCATACAAACCTGCTGGGTCCATACTGCTCACTAAATCAGTGACATTGCTTCTTTCAGCATCAATGGAGCCATCTGTGCAACAATTTAAATAGTCATGCTTGTCACTTATTCAAAGCATTACATTTAGTCTTTTAAAAGCAGAAAATGGGACAATGGACAGAAAATAAGGTAAATAAACAAATGAATGAGTGCTTAACTACATGTAGGTCTTGACCTGGATTATTTAAAAAACTAAAACACAAAGACAAATTAGACACTAAACTTAATTTCACTCTCACCTTGAATACATAAGATGATTGCATTTGGATTCTGCATGTATTTCCTAAAAGAAATTTCAAACTACATTTGGTCTTCACTCTTGACTAAACAGATACTATTTTTACTTCCTGGTAGTATCTTGGCCCAAAGTCCAAATGGAGTTACGCTTCAGGACAGAAACTACATGTACAAACTAGTTTTGCAGTTTGCTTACGTGGTGGGCAGTATTGCACAGCAACAGTAAAATATTAATGTTTTTCAAACTTCATTTTGTGTCTTAATTATTATATTTTTGTTGAGAACACTCAGTAGTCACCTGCTCATTTCAACAATGTCATCTTTGGTGTTTTCTGCCATTCCAGTTGTAATCGTCTGTAAAATGAAACAAGATTTGTTCAAATAACTCCTAAATTTCCAACAGTGATCAGCCTGTACTTTCTCATTACCAATTCAATACATTATCAAGTGGAGAGGTGATGAGAATAAAGAAAATCATCAGTTAAGGAATACCTAGTAATTAACCACAGAATGTCCAACATACCCCGATAATTCCTGGAAGGTCGACCAATACCATTCGATGAAGTCCTGGGCCTTTGACACTTAGAGATATCACCTGAGAATGAAACAGCAAATAAAATACATTAAAGCCATTAAAAAGAAAAAAGGTTGTCAAGAGCAATTTAATACAACAAGGATAGCTACAAATGGTACTAGTCATATGATACATTGTACAATCAAACTTCTGCCAATGAACACTTCCGGTTAGACAGTTCATAGTCCTAGTCCAGCTAAAAATTCGACATTTTTAATCTCCCGTAATCAGCCACTCTGCTAACTGCACTGTCTGGACACCTTCCTTATCCTTCAGGCTTCCCTTTAAAGGAGGTTTGACTGTATTTGTGAGACTCAAATATGGTGACCTAATGGTCAGATTATCAGGCTTGGAACGCAGTGTTCACGGGATGTATCTCTGGTTGTTCATCTTGTGTTGTGTTCTTTCCAATGGAGGTGACAGTTAAACCCCTGCCTGAACATGTCCTTAAGTCGCTGCTACATACATCTACACGATACATCAGCAAACAATGTAGTAGACATACAAGTACGTGAACACTTATTACCTCAGGGCTAACTGTTTGTCCATGTTTCACACTGTTCTTCATACGAATTTCAATCTCTTGTCTCAGACCTTTAAGCTGTAAATTCAACAAAAAAATACCCTCATTCATTAAAATTAACAATCTCTTGCCATCTACATGTACATAGCATGAGTGCAGAGAAATGAAAGATATTACTGACATTTATTAAAATCAAGTCAACTTAAGTGGCCCAAACCTGAACATTTCCATTTCTTGGAAAATGTTTGAGAACTCTCTTATTAATGTCATGACACAGAACGCAACTCAACATCAATTTGGAGTAAGAACATCCTACGAATGAAAATTCCTTTTCCACACCATGCTGCTCAGAGAAGAATCGAACAGTCTTGTGAGTGAAAGATTTCTATTTAAAGCTACAGTGTACATATTAATACAAACCTCATCTTCTTGTGTTAGGTCATACTGATGATTACTTCCCTTGAACTGTGCCATGTGGTTTGGCCCTTCACTCAACGTCACCTGACAAAAATAAAATAAAAATAACTTAATAAGAACTGGACGGCAGACAGGTGTTCTATCAAAAATATCTGAGTGTCTACCAGTAGTTCCTTGATCACAATAGAAACATTAATTAGAGTGGACCTGTTCATTCTCAGTACATAATGTTTTCATTATTAAGTAGCAGTCATCTAACTAGCACTTCTCACCATGACTGGGGCCCTTGTCATCATCTGTCCAGAACCTCTGAAACACAATTCAAAATTGAAACGTCATGCAGTGTGAAGAAGTCTTGAAACATCTAGGTTTAAAATTTTAAGGAGCAGTGCAAATCCCTGGGAGGAACTCCCATTTAAAAAGGACAGGAGTGCTCATCGGAAATTTTGAAAAGAACCCCTCAGAGGTATCATGATCCTGTTTTGTAGGCGTGGCTTGAAATGTTTTTCACCCCTAAGAGGTACTGCTTGAACAGTCTAAAACAACACATTATCTCCTGTCATATTTCTTTTGGCCTGATACCTTATTTAAAAAGGTGCTGCAATAGCTCCTGCTGGGGACCTTTTGAGGCTCAACACCCTAAAAGGTACAATGATCACCCCTGTCCTCTATATATGGGATTCCCCCCCCCCCCCC